TTTATTATAAACATATTAGGGAGGACCTCTTATTTTAGTTATTTTTTAACCTATATGATTTTAAGCTTTAATTGCTCAGTCACTTTTAGAGACTTAAAGAGCTCTGGCCCAGAAGAGAGGAAAAAAGCAAATTCTAAAAATTCTAGTAAATCACAGAATTGCCAAGATTCAGTATAATTCACACGTTTTCAAAATACCACTAACTATAGGACTATTCATCACAGCATTGTTTGTATAGGAAATTTTGGAGACAATCTGAAAGTCAGCAATAGGCAATTGGTTAAAATATGGTCTAACCACATGGTTCCACAAAGAATCCCTTTAAAAAAGGAGTCACCTCAAAGATATATTGGTTGGGAAAGAGATATTACCGTATGTGTATCAGGAGGAGGGGAAGAGGCCTGGTCTCTCTGGTCTTTCTGGAAGAAAATACAATTTAAAAAAATGGCATCTGGGCAGGGAACTGGAATGATGAAGGACAGATGAGTCTTAACTTTCTCTATGTACATGTCAGAACCTTTCAAATGCTATGCTCCATGTATTTCCTATTAGACAAAATAAAAAATTGGAATTTTTAACGAATCAGAGATTAATTCAGCTCAGACATTGGTTTAGATGGAATCTACTAAGCAATAACAAATTATGATATAAAATAACTCTCCTAGGGACACCTAGGTGGCTCAGCAATTGAGCGTCTGCCTTTGGTTCAGGGCGTGATCCCATGGTCCAGGGATCAAGTCCCACCATCAGGCTTCCTGCATGGAGTCTGCTTTTCCCTCTGCCTCTGCCCCTGCCTCTCTCTCTCTCTGTCTCTCATGAATAAATAAATAATAACAAAAATAAAATATCTCTCCTAAAACTTTCTTCCAGAGACTGAAGCACATTCATTCATTTAATCAGTATTTCAGTGCCTACTACATCCTCTAGGTATTAGAGCAATGCCCAAGTCATCTAAGAATCTCTGCCTTCAGGAAGCTTTAGTAGGAGCAGAGATAACAGTAAATAATAGAACTTCAAAGAGTGGTAAGTGCTCTAAGGAGAAGAGGAAATGTGGGAATAAAGAGGAATTATATGGGTGGGGGAGAGGAAAACTGTTTTGGGATAGTTAAGGTAGACTTTTTTAAGGGTGACGTGAGCCAAGAACTGAACATATACCAAAACAAGCAATGTAGTAAACAGAGGGAAAGCCCTGTGACTGGAACAAACTTAGCTTCTTATTGTTTAGGGTAGAACAAACCAAGAGTGTGGCTGCGGTAGTGACTCAAGAAAAGTCATGCAAATGACCTTAGTGATAAGCAGATGCAAAGAAGGCCTTATTCTATGTGTGATGGAGAACCTTTGTAGAGCTCCAAGGGGAGTGACACATCCGTATTTTAAAAAGTAGCACTAGCTGCTGCTTATGAGGCTAACAGTAGGCTAGGCAACAAATGATGAACTGAACAGTGGTTTCAGAGATGGGTAAATGTAGCTGATTAAGGACTTATTTTAAAAGTGATCCCCTGGGGGTGCCTCGGGGGCTCAGCAGTTTAGCACGGCCTTCGTCCCAGGGCATGATGGTGGAGACCACGTCCCACATCAGGCTCCCTGCATGGAAGTCTGCTTCTCCCTCTGCCTGTGTCTCTGCCTCTCTCTGTGTCTCTCATGAATAAGTAATTAAAAAAAAAAAAAGAATAAATAAAAATCTTTAAAAAAAAGTGATGCCTTAGAGAATTTGCTAGTGGATTATGTATGGGAATCTGAGTGGGACAATAAATAGGTGAATAGTAATTCAAAAAAAAAATCTTACATTTGTATATTTAGTTATCAAAGCATATTTACATAATGTCATTTCATAGTAATATAGAGAGGCAGGGGGAAGTAACACTGGGTCAAGATCCGGTTCCGTCCCTTGCCAGTTTTAAGCCTCTAAGAAAGTCATTTGAATACGTTTCTAGACTATAAAAGGTAGTCTACTTCACAAGATCAAGATCCAGAAGTTATCATACGGTTTAAGAATTTTGTAAATGGAGGGGCACCCGGCTGGCTCAGTTGGAGTATGTGACTCTTGATGTCAGGTTGTGGATTCAAGCCCCATATCGGGTGTAAAGCTAACCTTAAAAAAAAAAAAAAAAAGAATTTTGCAAGTGTAAATAATGACTACTTGGAGGTAAAAAGCATCCTATTAATAGTTGTCCAATGAAGGATGATGGTGTGCTCCTACAATTCAGAACAGTACAACTATCTACCCTGTACCACCACCACATTCCACATGGAACCCGTACTGTGATTGACAAAAAAGAGGCAAACTTTTTAAAAATTCTTAACTTTCTCTATGTACATGTCAGAACCTTTCAGATGCTATGCTCCATGTATTTCCTATTAGGCAAAAAATTTCAAAAACTTAAAAAAAAAAAAAAACATTTTCAAGTGCCTAGGTTATTCAGTCAGTTGAGCGTCCAACTCTTGGTTTATTTACCCTCAGGTCGTGATCTCATGGGTCGTGTGATGGAGCCCAGCCTGGGACTCCACGATCAGAAAGGAGATTGCTTGAGATTCTCTCCCTCTGCCCCTCCCCCTGCTCGAGTGGCATACATTTTCTCAAATAAATAAATCTTAAAAAAATTTATTTTCACTGATTATGGGAAAACACACACAATACAAGAAGAGCACTAAAAAACACAGTATAGTCTTGTAATCTCTCCTAGGGATTGGAAATACAGTTCTTTTTAAGCTAAACTACCAAAAGCATTAAAGTAAAACCACCTAACTTTTCCAAGATAAAACCCAAATGAAGTCACCTTTTATTAAAGTGGTGCTATCAACAAGATGCTGTAAAATTAAGACCATATTATGGTCAATTATCACCGTCTTGGTTAAAATAATAAAATGAAAATGCCTAGTGTAAGCTAAATTGTGTGCCAAATGAATGATGAGCACTTCAATTCACTGCCAAAAATCATTTCTGTAACCTTATTAAACAAGGTTTCACAAAATTTATTTTTCCATCCAAGGCTTTAATATTAATGCAGAATACGTGCAGAATCAAAACTGGAAAAAAAGTGTTGTCTCTAGATAACTATGTATTTTGGAGAATTATTACGAATATCAATTTGTATTATGTGGTCGATAACCTAAACACAGGAAAACAAAAATTTGAAGACATCTGGTGTGCAGCTAGATCCTCCATCCCTCATTTTCAACTGGGGCCTCCATAAACATGATTGGGGCCATGTGAAGAAAACCACATTGTAAGGCCCATCCAACACACACAGCAATTAAACCGCCTTGGACAGAATCTGAGACAAATCCATAATACAACAAACTGTGCACTATCACACTTCACATTAGACTGCAGCACACAATGACAATCTATGCTGCTTCTCTAATTTCTAAGAATTTCTACCTTATAAAAAGTCTTATTTCTCCAAAGCAAGCAACTCTAGGTCAGAGACATCCCCTCATTTCAGATACATTTGAGTGCAACTGTACGAAGCACACTACACAATACATCACCCGTTAAACGATCTTGGGCTTAGGATGCATCTCCGCCCCCCCCCCCCACCACCACCACCAAACTTTACAACAAGCCAGATTAAATATACGTTCACCAGGTTACATCAAGGAAATGATGCTGCAATTCAGTCACTTTAACTCGCATATTAACACAAAGGTTCAACTAAAATCTTCATTAAAAATGACAAGAAATTTCAAGGTTTTGTCTCTGTGTATTGAAAGAAATATCGCACATCTGAGGACCTGATGTTACGTAAAGAATTTACAACAGCAGTACGTCGAATTTCCTATAGTTCTACGCGTATTTGTTAAAAGTACAGCCTTCACAAGGAGCCGAAGAACCGTTAAATGCGCGTAAAATCGAGAGGCAAAGGATTTCACCAAGTCCCCCAGACCTGCGCTGCCCCTCCCCCCGCCCCCAATGTCGTGTTAAACTATTTCCTCTGAGGAGAAACAGCTCTCAAAAGAGTTTGCCAACCAGAGTAACATCACTTCACGGAGAGAACGAGCGGAAACATATTTAAAAGAGAGGCGATCCCGAAAGCGAGGGCAGCAGGGCGCCGAGCCCCAGGTCCGCGGACCCCCGCTGCCTGCAGCGAACATGTGGCTCCGGCGGCAGGACGCGCGGCCCTCCCGGAGCCGCCTCCCGGGGCACAGGGCCCCGCCCGGCCGCACTCCCCTCCCCTGGTTCATTCATTCTGAACCCTGGGCTTCCGCACCCCCGCGCTCCCGCCCGGCCCCGGAGAAGGCTCCAGGGCCGAGGGGCTGCGTGGGGCCGCACTCCCGCCCAGAGTCCGGGCCCCGCCGGGATTCGCGCGCGCGCGCGGCCTCCTCCCGGGTGGTCCGAGAGGCCGCGGAGGCCCGCGCCGGCCCGCGCCCAGAGTCCCGCAACCCCGCGGCCCCACCCTCCGCCAGGGTGCCGGCCAGGCCCCCCCCGCCCGCGGCGCGGCCACCGGGAAGCCCCCGGGCCCCGCCGCCCGGCTGCCCCGCCGCGGCCGGAAGTCTCTCCGGAGCCCCCTCCCCAGCGCCTGGCTTCCCTCGCCGCCGCGGCCAGACCCTCTCCGCGCTGGCCTCGGGCCTCCCAGCGCGGGCCGCGGGCCCGAGGACGCGGGGAGCCGCGCCGCCCGGGGCCGCCGAGCGGCCGAGCTCAGAGCCGGGAGTCGGCCTGGGCGGTTACCTTGATAATCCTGCGGGGCAGCCCGGCCATCTTGTCAGATCCCGAGTTCGGCCTCAGCTCTCGACCCTGGCTCCGCTCGCCTCACGCACGAGTGGAAGTCCGGGGCTCCACTTCCGGGGGACGTTGCCGCGCCCGCCGCCGCCGCCGCCGCCGCCGCCGCCGCCGCCGCCGAGGCCCCTCGGGAAATGTAGTCCCTGCTCGTGCGCCGGCGGGCTTCCCTCAGAGCTGGCCCCCTCCCCCGCGCTCCCCGCCCCACAGCCCCGGCCTGCGGGTGGCGGAAGTGACGAGCCCCGGCGGGGCAGGGACTTCGGGGAGGCGGCGCGAGGCGGCGCGAGGCGGCGCGGAGCTCCGGCGCCCGTGGCCGAGCCCGCTGGGGTCGCGTGGCCGGCGCCCCGCAGGCCTCTTAGCCGCGGCCACGCCTGCGCCGGGGGCGACGTCACTTCAGCCCATTCATTCTCCGCGGTCGGCTTCGCTCCTTCAGCGTTTCTGCAGTTGCGCGCGGCCGCGGCGGGGGGCGGCTCCCTCAGAGGCAGGCGGGAGACCGAGACTCCGAGGCCAGACTCCTAAACGCGGGTCTCCCCGGGCGGAGAGTTTTGATTTTTGAGTCGCACGTAAATCGGGCCCCTTCAGCCCCGAGAAGGCTGAAAGCCAGGGTTTGGAGAGAGAGTTGAGGGAACAGGGAGTCGGCTCCTGAAGGCAGAGCCGCTAGCCGGAGGCATGACCGAGGCCAGGAGGAGCGAGCCCAGAGGTCGCTGAGAGGACCCCCCGTGGAGCGCAGGGCCCCTGCAGGAAGATCCCAGAGCGGCCCTGCCCGAAAATGGGACTGTTGGAGAAGCATTTTGTGGCGTTCTGGTGACTGCTGGTTGCTATGGGATAGGCTTTCCGCAGGTGTTACTTTACGTCATCTTCACAGAAGGTGTTTCCACAAATGAGGCTCAGAAACGTCAACTGACTTTTTCTAAGATCATGCAGGAGAAAATGGAGCTGGTTGTGACCCCGGGTCAGGTCTCCCAAAACAAGGACCCCTTAACTGCTTAACCGCGGTGTTTTCCCAGCACGGCACAGACTGGATGGTGAGTAAAGGTGTGCCAGGTGTTGCGTTGGAGGGTGAGACTACAGAGACGACCCTGACTGCCTTCCAGGCCAATGGAGAAGAGAGACAAGTAATTAATTACAGCCCAGTGTGTTACGGGCTATAGTAGAGTTTGCTCCAAGGTGAGCCCAGAGAGGCATTAACTGATTGAAAAGTCAGAGAAAGCTTTCCCAAGGGAGAAGAGTTGCCCTCAAGGATGAATAAGAGTCTAACTGACCTAGTAGGGAAGAGCATGTCAAGCATAGGAAATAGCCTGTAAATGGCATTGAACTACAAAAAAAATGTATTTTTTAAAATAAATAAAGCACTATAATATATATATATATATATATATATATATAAAATGGAGACTATGAATGCAAGAAACCTAGTAAAAATTGAGAATATTGTGTGCTAGGCACAATGCTGAATGATCACATGGATTATCTCATCAAAGAGTAAAGTTCATGAGGTAGGTTCTCTTATTACGACTGCTTTTGAGATGAGAAACCAAGCCTCAGAGGTAACAATAAGAACCTCACATAACCAAAAGTTTGAAATTAGTGGTTCTGTGATTAAAAGAATCTAGGGGAAAAATGACATTGGACAAGGATACGTTTGGAATATTTCAGAGAGGGCCCAGAATTCAGGAAGAAAGCAAAGTGAATATTAGAAGTGCGCTGTTCCACTTACGTATTGCCTAACAAACCAGCTCATGCATACCATTTAAAATAACAATCATTTACTTCCCACTTGAATCTGCAATTTGGGCAGAGCTTGGCAGGGAAGGCACATCCCTGCTCCATGCTGTGCTGTGTCAGCCTGGGCGGCCTCACTGGGCCCAGATCCACTTCCAGGATAGCTCACATAGCTGGCAAGTTGGTGCTGGCTATTAGTTTCTCTCCGAGTGGGCTCTCCCTGGAGCAGCTTTGGTTGTCTCACTACCTGGTGGCTGGGTTCCAAGAGTGAGCTAGCTAGCAAAAACAGAAGCTGAATCATCTTTTTTTTTTACCTAACCTGGAAGTCGCATAGCATCATTCCCACTATAATCTACTGGTTGACTAATCACAAAAACCCACCCAGTTTCAAAGGTATGGGGCATGGACTCCACCTCTTGAAAGGGGAGTGGAGAGATTCTAGAAACTAGCATAGTATGCCTGTGTTGGAAGATATGGTTGTGGCTAGCCTTGGAAAACAAACTGTCACAGGTATGACATTTGTCATTATGCTTACAGCCAACTGCCTTAGTGTCATCTGCCTGTGACTCTTAAGTGCTGGTTAAAATAAGCATGCCTGGAGCCCTTCCCTCAGAGATTCTAATTCTCTTATTCAGCGCTGAGACCTGGGAATGTGCATTTAAATATTATGAGTAATTTTGATCCTAAAATTTGAAAGTAAAGATTTTGAATAAACAGCAACAAAAATGTATAAACAAAAAAATGTCACCATGTGCGTTCTTTTGGCTATTTTCTATTAGGACAGATAATGAGTATCACGTAAATTAAGAGTGAGGGCACTAGAGTTCTGGTCTAAGGTTTGAGAACTTACATTTGTTCATCTATCTTTCATTTTCTTCACCTATAAACTATACATACTTCATGTGATTCTTGTGAAGTTTAAATAGAACACTACAGGGCAGCCCTGGTGGCTCAGCGGTTTAGCACCGCCTTCGCTTCAGCCCAGGGCCTAATCCCGGAGACCCGGGATCGAGTCCCACATCAGGCTACCTGCATGGAGCCTGTGACTCTGCCTCTCTCTCTCTCTCTCTCTCTCTCTCTCTCTCTCTCTCTCTGTGTGTGTGTGTGTGTGTGTCTCATGAATAAACAAAATTAAAAATTTTTGAATCTTAAAAATAAATAAAATACTACATAGTACTTAGCAAGGACTATTATTTTTATATGCTAAAGTATATTTTTGCATGTCTCCTCTAGTTGCTTTCCCATTCTTTCCTCTCTTGAGAACAACTCAGGCTATACTCATCTGGAAAATAAAATCAACTTCTGATTCATAAAAGTCCTGTAGAACAGGATATAGTCTTAGAAGGACAGGTTGCCACAGGATCAAGATGAGGTCCAAAGTTAGAAATCTAGTGGAGAATCCTTACTGTAAAATATAGCTGAAACAAGGATATCCACCAAAGTAATTCAATCATTCCTTCAGGGGAGAGGTGTTGGGGATTGCAGAACAGAGGTAAAAGAAAGACATACCACTTAAACTCTTGTACCTTTTAGATTTTGAACTATGGGAATGTGTTACCTATTTAAAACATTAAATAATCCACTAATATCAATAGTCTTAAGATATATTCTAAGTTCTTTCGGTGCTGATCAAGGATGTCCTGATGCCTTCACTCAGAACTCAGCAAAAAGCAGCTGGTCCATGATATTGAATAAATTATAGCGACCAGATAGCACCACTAAGCTGAATAGTGCTATGCAGAATTTTCAGCTAATTAATCTTCTTTGGCTTTTTGTCAGGCCTCACAATAATGTGTTGGGGTTTTTTGTTTTGTTTTGTTTTGTTTGGGGTCTTTTTCCAGCCTCTGCTCCTTCTAGGACTCAAACTGCAAGTGCCTTTACATTATGATATAGGAAGGGAACAAGCAAGAATGCTATGCTGGAGGAATTCCAGGAATTCCACTCCATGCAAAGCTTTTACTCCCAGAACACTATTTATTGTGTCCTGTTCCTTTACCACCCTCACCGCCACCTCCAAATATTCCAGATTTGGTCCTTTGGTCTTATACTAGCAGATACATAGGACTATTTACCCTGCAGGTAATATCCTGGGACATTTATACCTGAGCTCCTCAGCATTATGGATCTCTTCCATTTTGGTCACCAGTGCACCCCGAGGCCTAGCTCAGGGCCTACTACAGGATAGTCCTCAAAAAACGTTTGTTGAGGGAATGAGCCAGTATCTACGTGGGGAAAATAAACACCTCTTTGAGAATAGGTCACGTAGATTCGTGATCAATAAGTGAATGCTTACAGAAAGCATAGGATGTTTATGTTCATCCCTAAACTTTCAACTTCCTGAAGGGCAACAGTTTTGTTTTTTTTTTTTTTTTTTTTTTTTTTCAGAAACTGTCTTGCACTTTGCAGAGACAAAATATGGTAGATGAGTTTGGAAGATGGTAGGTTAACCACCCCTAATAGAGCACGTTTCCATTCAGGAGCGGTAGTCATCAGGCGGAAGTATTTGTTTGCAAGGACCCCTATTGTTTCTTGCAGCATATGAAAACAGTTTTGTAGGCCATCAAGACAGGAGTATCTGAGAAGAGGGTTCGTGAACACTGACTCAGGGAGGAAGTGGGTGGGGGAGGAAGCAAATGCTGCACGCTGATTTAAAAGAAGAAAGAAAAAAAATGCCTGCTGCCTCATATTCAAGATGTCAATGCAAGTAGCGGAGCACTTATAGACAGACTGTTAACCAACACAATGCCTGCCTGGGAGAAGGAGCTGAGTGGCATCATCCAGGGTCTTAAGGACACTCAGGGTGGAAGGCATCAGGACAGATGAGACCCAGAAAAATCTGAGCAATAAGGTTTACCTTTGTTTGACGCTTTATGCTTTACGAAGCGTTTTTGAATGTCCTCACCCATGGAGATTTAAGTGCATGCACCACTGGAGGCTTTGTGTAGAGCCCATCGTTAACTCCACCGTGTCTCTCTAAAGGTAAATGGAGGGGGTATGCCTTTCTCCGGGAAATTTCCCAGTGGAAACGATTCCAGAAGATGGTGACTCAAAAGACATTTGGCTAGAAGCGTGGCTGGAACAGAAACTCTGAAAGCAAGGTTCTTTTCCCTGCAAATGTGTGCCACCCTTCCAGGCTCCCAAAGAACTGTTTGCATTCCATGACCTTGGGCTTCAGTCACTGCATAACTGGGCCTGTGATTGCACACTCAGCCTACCAGCTGAACTGTTCCTGCATTTCTCTCCACCTGGTATACCTTCACCTTTCTTCTTGCCCAGCCAGCACCTGTCTCTCTCACTGCTATTGGTTTCCCATATGCTTCCCAGTGGTGTTGCTTGCTTTCTGCAGAAACCACCCACCTGGTTCCAGCATAATGAGAAATGTTTTGAAAACTCTTTTGCTTTCGATAACAATGACTTGGGGATCCAATAAACTCTGGAGCAGAGGTTTACAAACTTTGGAGGGTTAAACACGTCAGAGACTGGTTAAACATACAGATGCAGGGGCCCCAGCCAAGGTCTTTGAATGCAAGTCACAGGCCCCATGCATCTGTGTTTTTAACAAACTTCCCAGGCATAACTGGGAGCCCCAAAGCTTGAGAGTCACTGTCCGATATTATCTGATCTGCTTGAGAAAACAGTTGCAACAGTAACCTTGACTTATACTATTCTTGTTCTTGTTTTTCTAGATTCTTTTTGACCCCAAACCCATATCTTTCCTTCTGCTTGTTCTAATTTTCTTGATCCAGGTATTAGATATTTCAGATTGTGTTCAAGTTGGCCCAAGTGTTAAGTATTCCAGATTGTTAGGTTTTGAGGAGGCCAAGAAATAAAAACCCCTTTCCCTCCTGAAACTACAACCAATTGGAAGAGATGGAGATTGGAACATTGTTCTCATTACAAATAAAGTTGATTGGGGAACACAACTCTGAGTCTGCAGTAATTTGGGCTAACTCACCTTCCCCCAACCTGCTCTCCAGTTACAGGCGTAGCCACCCAGTCATTTAGCACAGCAGGCCCCATAACCCAAGCCAGGGCAGAGCTGGGAATGCTAGTGAGTAGAAAACAGTCTGCTGTAGAAGAAGAAAGAGAAGGAGGAGGAGGAGGAAGAGGAGGAAAAGAAGGAAGAGGATGAAGGAGATAAAGGAAGAAGAAAGGAGGAAGGAAATGAGAGAGAAAAGGGGGGAAAGAAAAGAGGAGACAAGGCTGAGCAGACCTAGCAATCAGAAAACGTATTCCTCTTTGCTTCAGTCTACAAAACCTCTTGACATTTTCTTAACCTACTGCTTACTTTCAACTCCCCAGA